GCCCACCTGTGTGATCAAGAAAGGGCCGTCGTCAACTCAGCAAGGCGCTTGTCGGTCTGGATAGCGTCGATTTTAAGCAAGGAGGAGGCTTATAATAGGTAAGGCCTCTTAGGTTTGGAAAGTATCCATCATAAGCCCAGAAATAGCTCGGCTCAAGTTGGGTGGGGACAATCTTCGACCGTTAAGATGAACATTTCAGGTTCCGAATAGGCCCATATCACCGCACACAACATTGCAGACAGGGATGCAGTTTCCTATTCAGTTGTGTCTTCAGCTTGGGCTTGGCTCAGCCCCCCCCCCCCCCTCCCCCAACCTCGGGAGAAGTTTGTCAAATCTGGGGATAAACCGGTTTGTGTGCATATTCGAGGCTAGGTTAGGCCGTATTTTCACTGTTCACAGCCCCCCCCCCCCCCCCCACCCCCGCCTAACACGGCCCTGGTTGCATACACGGCTGCATGAAGCCTGAGGGACAGTGTTATGCATTGCGTGCTGAAAATACGAATGATGCGTACCCGCGATGACTAACTGCATTGAATGCGCATTTGACTGTGCGTGGAAGATCGGGAGCAGTGCCTCAGCCGCACTCTTCTACATGGTCCGAGTCTTACCAACCACCTGACAGCTGTGCATATGCGTCTCAGCACGGCACAGCAGCGTTCATGACAGGCATAACAACAAAACATGTTCTACCGTATCAATGGTTCTCGGCACTATCGGGATCGCCTTCGGGCCTTCCTGGTGGGAAGGTGGGAGCATACTGCTCTCCCGCAGCGCGTGCAGCATGGCGGTGCATTCTTCGAAACGTTATCTTTCCCAAGCTGACCAGCTAGTTCTCAGAAGGGCAGTGAATGGAGCACGCAGACGAGTCCTGCACTGTGGCTGTAGTGGCGATGGCCGAAAACATCCACAACACAACAACAACAACAATACTCCAAATGCATTTTGAAGGCAGTCGAAACGACAGACGCAGCGGTGGAACTGGTGCTCAACCTCAAGCCTCAGTCGTATTCGACGTCATCTGACATTCCCCATAATAACATGACTAATGCGTGTCATTGGTCTCGAAGACATAAAAATATGTCGAAAACAATGGGAAGAGGAATTAGATAAAACATGCATGCAAGCAAAAACATGCTTCATAAAAGCGCACGCATACAAAAACAATGTTATACAATAATATCGTACAAAAATGGCTGGGCAGGGCGCTTGCAATTTGTCGAAGCCACTTGTCTTATCTTCCTGCGGCTGGTTAATGAGACAGGCCGCTCGGTACGCTAAGGACCGCTGTCCTGCCGCCTCACCACCGCCGGGAGGCGCAGGTTTTTGGTCCATGCGGGTGGATCGGGTCACTAACCTGCGCGTCGGCGAAGCAGCAACAACAGGCAATAATCTGCAAGAATCTGCAATTGAAACAAGCAGCAGATCTGCAGGCGCAACATCGCTACGGGCTCTGTGCCCAGCAAAAGCAGTTTGTATTCCACACATTTGGTGAGGCGTAACAAGTGCAGGTCATTCCGCGCGCGAGACACGTAGTCATGCTTTCCAGGAGGGCCAGTAGCTACTCTGGTGACGATAGTTTATTTACTTTCAGCAGGCCTGGTTTCGTTAACAGCTGATCCCTGGCCATAATGCTGAAAGCGATATCTCACGCACGAGATGACTAGACCTTACACGACGGTCAGCAGCACTCGCTGTTGAAGGAAATGCGGGATGCAAACAAATGCTTACGGGCCGCCTGAGCCTAATGCAGCGATGGCTGCTGACAGCGAGCCATATTCGAGAACGACAGCGAGCCGTATTCGAGCGAGCCATATTCGAGACATATTCGTGAACGAGCTGGCTCACACACATGTTGACATCGAAGGCACGTGAAGAAGATCAGGAGGAAGCCCGTCAGTCCCAGGCTTTGCTGCAAGTCAACCTTCCAAGCTGCTCGCTACGAGGAGGTGATCCACTTGGCGCGAGAAGAGATCGCGGAGGTGCTGCTGAACAGGAGCGTGTCGAAGGAGGCTATCAGGCGCGTAGCCCACCAGCCGCTGAGATGAGACCGCATCCCGTTCTCACACAAGCTGGAGACAGCTCGGTGAGGGTGGTGACGGAGGCCTCTGCTTCCGTAACAGGGAGGAGAACTGTTACGCTTCGTTTGCGCTCGATCGAAGCACCGTGAAATTCATGCGATTGATGGTGGCAGAGCATGATGTTCGGCTGTCATTCTGATGACGTATAACTGTGGCATGTGCACACTATGCGTCAGTTTAATCTCATTTCCTGTTGGTCTTTTGGATGCTATGTTGAATCAACCTACACAAAACCGCTTCCATGTTATTAAATACTTACATTCCAAAATATAAGTTCATCCAAAATGTTTGTTTATAGTCAAATAATAACCCGTATATTGTCAGGGTGCCAGTTCTACGTAATCTGAATAATCAGAATATATTGAGATGCACTAGTTTCATTTCACGCATTATCTCCCCAACATGACAACGAATGTGCGATAACGATCACAAGCGGTCACCTAAGCGTCCTTTTGCCGAACAAAAGGCTTAACTTGACCGCTGCGGATCGTTAACATGGGCAGCAATGCAGCTTCGACCACTGTGGGTTGACTCCAGCTCGCTACAAAGGGGGAATATGCGGAATTTTATTTGTTCTCATAGAAGTCCCCCGCGTTTCTTCGGCGTGGCATTTTTGATCTATTTGGCGACACCGTAGTATGCACGACGTTTACCACCTGGAGGACACCGGACTATTGACCTTAATGGTGGCATGCTATCCTATCCGCCATGGTCAAACGTTGACCACTGGTAGCGGCGGCGGCGGCGGCGGCGGCGGCGGCGGCGGCGGCGGCGGCGTGCCTCAGAACACGACCCCCGGATGGCCGAACGCGTCGAGCAGCATCTTCTTGTAGAGCTCGAGGTCGAGAGCCCTCGATCACAGTGACGTTCCTGCCAAGAGCCGTGGGCTCGCTCCAGCTGCGCCGGTCCACCACCATCAGGCCGCGAGTGAGCTTCCCATGCAGCTCCACCGTGGCCTGCGGCGCAGATGTAAGCAGTCCACCTGCGACCTGAGGTCACTGAAGCGGTGGTCGCGGCAATGCACAGTCTACGATCACAGCAACACCTCCAGCGTCCCCCTACCAGACGGCAACGCACTTTTTCTCCCTCAACGGTGCAGCTGCCGTGACCTGCTCGACCGCCGTGCGTAAAGAGCAATACATTCACAGCAGTCCAGCCGCCTGCTGTTTGCATAGATGTGTACACAATGTCACCCACGTAGATGACTGCTCGACCCTCGCACACAGCTTAGAAGACCAGGTACGCAACCAAACCTTAAAAGTGGTTGTACCAGACGACAAAGACTACATGCACTCGTACTCAACTGGACTCCAAAAGGTAACCCGTCGGGGGAAAGCGCATGGCTCACATGACTCGCACTGCTTCTCACAAACTGACTTAGTAAACTGGATACGGGAGTACATGATTCACACTCACCGGGCCACATCTGAAACAGTCTGCCGTTCGGCATAACAAACCTTGCCTGCCACCTGTTATCTGCCAATGTTCTGCTACGCGTCATTGACCCGCTCGTGTTCTCCCATGTTCGTTACCGCGCTCAAGTTCATGGGGGCGGGAACTGCACAGCTGTTGTGAAATTGCAGAAAGTCTTTAACTTCGCAGCCAGGGTGTCCCCGGGCGACATAGATTTGACCGTGTGTCGGATGTTCCACGATGGTTTGACTGGCTTAGTGGCCAAACGTTTATCGACTTCTTCGATATATGCCTCGTACACAAAGTATTGACAAACGGGGAGCCATAGATTTTACGTTCTCAGCTATCCTACAACCAGAAAAAGACCGAACCCAGTACGCGCCAATCTAGTCATGTATCTCTTTCTCGCCCCCAAAGAACAAACTTGGAAAGCGAGCAATGCCTACCAAGCTGCGCCTATCTACAACTAGCGTGTCATCACCAATGACATCGCGGGCTTATCTTCTTCTTTTAAGTCCTGTTTCCATGACACTATTCAAAGCAACTGCCATTTTTAACCTCGTGTATGTCTCCTCGTGTCGTGTTACGCTTGTCGCCCTGTGACTGTCGATGTACCTGTTAACGAAGGTCTAAGAAAGGCCTAATAATGCGGAACGACTTGATAAAGAGCAATACAATACATTACGATGGCGGCATGCCACGCAATGATGACTCAAAGTAAGCCTGGAGACGTGGCAACCCGTCTAAGTCTGTCCAGAAACTCACATGTCATTGTGCCCGGCACCGTGGCAGTTTAGAGAAGTAGACGAGTCCAGGTATCAGTATTAGGAATGGAATCATCTGCCTGACTATCGTATGCTCGTCTGAGTATACTGAGAGAGAGTATGCTTGTTATAGAAGTAGACGAGTCCAGGTATCAGTATTAGGGATGGGATCATCTGCCTGACTATCGTATGCTCGTCTGAGTATACTGAGAGAGAGTATGCTTGTTATAGAAGTAGACGAGTCCAGGTATCAGTATTAGGGATGGGATCATCTGCCTGACTATCGTATGCTCGTCTGAGTATACTGAGAGAGAGCATGCGCGTTAGAGAAGTAGACGAGACCAGGTATCAGTATTAGGGATGGGATCATCTGCCTGACTATCGTATGCTCGTCTGAGTATACTGAGAGAGAGTATGCTTGTTATAGAAGTAGACGAGTCCAGGTATCAGTATTAGGGATGGGATCATCTGCCTGACTATCGTATGCTCGTCTGAGTATACTGAGAGAGAGCATGCGCGTTAGAGAAGTAGACGAGACCAGGTATCAGTATTAGGGATGGGATCATCTGCCTGACTATCGTATGCTCGTCTGAGTATACTGAGAGAGAGTATGCTTGTTATAGAAGTAGACGAGGCCAAGTATCAGTATTAGGGACGGAATCATCTGACTATCGTATGCTCGTCTGAGTATACTGAGAGAGAGAGGGAGAGTATGCTCGTTATAGAAGTAGACGAAGCCAGGTATCAGTATTAGGGATGGAATCATCTGCCTGACTATCGTATGCTCGTCCGGCTTAAACGAGGTCAATAGCGCGGAAAACTACTTCATCAAGCGGAGTAGTTGTCCGCGCTACGTACGGACAACTACTCCGCTTGCCACTGTGCTACGACGGACAAGCCTTCCGTGACCGCCGTAGCACAGTGACAAACGACGGACAAGCCTTCCGTGACCGCCGTAGCACAGTGACAAACGACGGACAAGCCTTCCGTGACCGCCTTCCGTTCCTTCCGTGAAGCACAGTGACAAACGACGGACACACAAGCCCTTCATAGTCGATCAACGACTTCGAATAATGTGCAGACACTTTGCCTGGTCTACGCTGAGCTCACAAACTCGGTTTTCATACCGTGACATTAGCCCGATGCGAACCAGTGTGGCCACGCTTATAAAAGTTTCTAAAGGTCTCGTGATATTGTTAGAAACCACAAAACATGCCACGCGATACACCTTCACAGATGCATCGGCCTCACTGGATGTGATATAACAGGCAATACGATTTTCGGCGCTACAGGATAATGCATGAGTCACGTCAAAGGTCTTTATTTCTGCACGTTAGCGGCGTAGTGACAAAAGGGCAAGAGGCCATACCGTTACAAATGTCACATGCTGTCACCTCTGCTGCCATGAGCTGACAGTTCGACGAGCGCAAAGTGCGATGGCGTTGGCCCCCGTCCCGTGATCATTCCTGACAGTATGTTTATTACCGCTAGTTCAACGACATTCCCCCCCCCCCCCTTCAAACGGCAAAGTTCTCCTGCTCCGCGAGAGGAACGCTCTGTGTTTGGTAGCTCATCAGTGGCTCCTGGAACGGTTTCGGGCTCTGGGACGTCTTGCCTGCTCGATGTTGTACTACAAGTGTGATGATTACACGGCATGTGATGTAACGGAGCATAAAGCTATAATGTGTGGTACGCCGCAGCAGGCGCGCAACCAGAGCTTTGGCAAAGAAGGGTGAAGGGACAGGGGTTGAAAAGGCCCCTGCTAGTGAAAATCCCCCCTAAAAAAACGTGAGACGTAGCCCACTGTTCAAATGCGAGCGTGCATTTCTTTTATAAACATATTTTTTAGACTTGTTCCCTCTGTAATTGGAATGGAAGCCTAAAGCTACCGCGAAAAAAACTCTGCCCGAATTTTGTAGTTATTAAACCGAAGGAATCGCTCGTTAAACGACTGAATGGAGGAAATCGCCGGAGCTCTCCATTTTTCAAATGGTCCAGTGGACTCTCTCCAAGCCGACAGAGCTCACAAGCTTCGTCAAAATTCGTACCCGTGTTCTTCAGATATATTAGAGATCCCGCCATAATTGATTGTAGGTAGATCAAAATGAGTGAGCCATTTGTATTAACATGTCCAGCCCATGTTTTTTTTTTAAAAGATCAGCATTCAGTCAGACTTGATTATTGACGCAAATTATGTTACGTAGTTTTAAACATGCGCGCTCGCACATTTTAGCAGCAAAGACCTCGACGCCAAACATCACACTCTCCATAGGTCGCGCAGCGTCGGCCCCACGGCTGGTACTAAGCCGTGGCCAACGGATGGACGAAAAGTATGCCGCATCTGAAAAGTGTCTTTGAACTATCCAGGATATCAAAACGTTTATTTCAAAGATAGTCTAGGAGTATATTTCACAGGTACGTTTTTTAGATTGATAAAAACGGATTGGTCTTGACAGCCCTGTGAAATGTTGCTGTACTCTGGTGGTACAGGAAGACTAAACGTAAAATCTTTACTTTCGTGTTTCGTGGAACTGTTTATCCATCCAGATGACAGCCTAAAAGTTGTGAAAATGATACACCCAGTCTAATTTTTGAAGGGTGCGAATTCCTTTTGAAAGGTGCGAATTCCTTTGAAAGACACTTGAAACCATTTTCATGACGGTCGTTCTCGCCCGCACAACCCCAGTCGCCTGGTGTTGCTTGCAATGGCTAACGCCACTCGGCTTCGTTCTCACTAACCCTAGTACTCTTTCTAGAATTCCTCTTTCACCTGAGTAGCGTGCGTATAGTCTATGGGAAGCGTGGCAACGCGGTGACGTGTCACATCTTGGGAATCTGCAGCTAGGGCTTAAGATGGGAACCGTTGCTCTACAACTTGCTTATATCCAACCCAGCGGATCAAAGTCCATCGTTCATCCGAACACATAGCAGCCGAGTTTGATCAGCCCTTGCTTGAGAAAAAGCCGAATCAGGGTTGAGAAAAACACAGTCTGAAGGATCAGAATGAAGCCTTCGAGGTATTTTCACCGGAGATCACATGACTACGCAGGACGGGACGCCTTCCATCTGGGAAGGGGGGGGGGGGGGTGCGCTAACGGCCAGGCTTGGCGCGGGCATGGTGCAAGCTCAGTTACCAATGAGATCACCCGGTGAGGGACGCTTCTACGGACCGACTCATGTCATAAAAAACGTACTCCACCTAAGAGCCCATTAATGGGCAACGCAGCATCGCCGCGTTCTGGCATCGCCCGCACAGCATACGGAGGAAACATTACGAAGAACGATTAAAGCGCCTTTTGGCCCACGGTTTTTGACCACGGTTTAGGAACGGTTAAGAACCTTTGTCGGGAAACACTTTGAGTTGTGCTCAACCTACCCTCCCAAAATTTTGAAGTCGCTGCGTACAGATCAATGGCAGGCGTGGCGTCGGGGGTAGTGTATGGTGCGTGTAATGACCTGCGCTCAGCATGTGTCATCTGCTCATGTGCGGTATTTCACCGGCAGTGTGTGCAATTTAGATCAGCTGCAGCCTGCGCAGAACACATCCTGCCATTCCTCTCCGCAGCGTGATTGCCGTCATGTGATGTCATCCCTGATGCGTGGCTGCGGCACAGTCATTTAAATGCGGGATAATGCTAAAAAATATATCCGCTGGAATGCGTTGCTGGTGATGTGCGGTGTATTCCAGAATAAAGATGGGAACTACGCGACATGAACTCCGCCGATTCTTTCGATTAGGTATATCTGAAGCGTTTCCTTCACCCTATCACCCACCGCGTTCGAAGGTGTCTGATTCCGTGGCGTTCCTTTGCGCACGCCGTTGCGGTGCGTATATCTGGGCTTCCCTTCCGACAACGCATTAACTGCGACACGAGTCTACAAAAACGTCTGCCTTGTCCCCAGCCTCTCTCTCCGTAGAGTCCCTGTCTGGGCTGCTGCCAACTCACGTGGTGCGTCGACTGTTTGAGCACGATCTCGGGCCGGATTAGCATGGCGGCGGCTGCTTGGTCGCACGTGATCCAGTCGCCGAAGGTGCGGTCCTCAAGCACGGCGCGCTCGGCGGCTCCGAAGAAGCGGGCCGCGGGTGAGTCGACGGCGCCCAGCACCGTTTTCCTCCACGCCTGCCGGTCACGGGTGGTCAGGCCTTCCTCCAGCTCTGCCGGTGACGCCGTAGAGCTTACATGGGGTCGACTGCCAGGTTAGAGGAACGACAGGCAGAGCTTGAACGTCGAAAGACCTCATATGACCTCGCCGGCATCGCTCATTGGAAGCACCAGAAGCCGCACGCAGATTTCGGGCTAGCGACTTGCATTGGTTCAACTGACCTGAAATGTTGACCAGAAGAGATTATGTGAAAAGGCTCGAGCATAACATTGGAAGACTTACGGGCGACACCAGTTGGTAGTGAATATTTTCTCAAACATATGAGCTGGAGAGTACACAGGAGCTAGTGTGCAATTCCGCCTTATTCTCGTGGAGCCTTGAAGGTTGCGATCAGGATGACAAGACCCTTGTGAGCCTATACAAATTATCCACTAATGCCTACCGAGAAGGCGTATTTTCACATGCATAATGCTATCTAAAACTCTTATATTAATGACACCCTACCCTTCCCCACATCGAAGGCTGATAGTTCGAAAGCATAGCGCATAATCAGCCTTTCTGGTCAATTTTTACTCTGCCCCATATTGTGTATCGATGCATTGGTTATCTTTAGGCTTTACACTATAGTGGTGAAGCCATGGCCAGCCAATCCCAGAGAACCACATATCTTACATGCGGAGCACCTCTAATACCCCCCAAAATGTACATATAAGGGACCGTGACTTTCTGGATCCGAGGGCCCATACGACTTTCCGTTTTATGCTAATCCCTTCGGGAAATACGGGACTAGATAAAAAACTATTGTTATACATACGGGTGGAAAGTACAAGTCCGATTTTATATGCACATGATTGAAACTAAAACCGCATACGCACGTGCATTTTCATTTTGTTGGGTAGCGCCAAGGCCCTAGATAACACGTGCCATGGAGCTTTTTATGTGGCCCAGGCACGCTCAGCATCATGCGCCGCTCAGCGCGGGGCAAAAAGCAGAAGATGCCGAGTTACATTGGTCAGCGAGATCCAAGATCGCAAAAGCACCACCTGCACAAAACTACGTCTGCGCCTGCAAGAAAAATTATGAAAGTCAGGTCTGTACTGGGGTAGAAATGCAATGAAGATACCTTGGGAAGATGCCGCTAAAATTATCTCGGAAGCAAACGCAAAAAAGGGAGATAGGGTTGAGCAAGTCAAGTCAGGCATGACCAACCCATCAAAAGTCATCTTGAAGATCGCTCAGGAAGTTGACACCAGTCACACAACCAAAAACTAGCATTTCCCTTCAAGGCGACTACCCAGTAGAAGCTGACAGAAGCCACTAATGAACAGCGGATGACATTTGGCAGCTGACTGAAGACCGAGGAAGAAGCTAATCCTTTTGTAACCACATCCAGTTCAGCGACGATATCACCTTCACCTGAAGGAGGCAGTTAATACACAAAACTGCCGGCTTTGGGCCTCGGAGCTGGCAGACAGAGCTGCTGGAGAGCCCGCTGCACAGCCCGAAGGTAACAGCGTGATGCTCCATGAGTTCGAGAGGCCCGATTGCGCTCCTCTCTTCCAATGTCCAGACGGCCACACGGCCTGATGCTCCATGAGTTCGAGCGGCCCCATTGCGCTCCTCTCTTCCAATGTCCAGACGGCCACACGGCCTGATGCTCCATGAGTTCGAGCGGCCCCATTACGCTCCTTTCTTCCAGTGTCCAGACAGCCACACGGCCTGATGCTCCATGAGTTCGAGCGGCCCCATTGCGCTCCTCTCTTCCAGTGTCGAGACGGCCACACGGCCTGATGCTCCATGAGTTCGAGCGGCCCCATTGCGCTCCTCTCTTCCAGTGTCCAGACGGCCACACGGCCTGATGCTCCATGAGTTCGAGCGGCCACATTGCGCTCCTCTCTTCCAGTGTCCAGACGGCCACACGGCCACGGCCAATCGACATGCTGGAGCGCCTCTGGAGACAGCTGGGGATCCGGGTAAAGTGGAGAACATGAGGGTGCCAGCGTGGTGGGGAATCCCCACAGGCCGAAGGGCAGGCTTGACATGGCTGAGGGACATTTTTGCAGCCCGCATCATCAGCTGCAGGACTGGCAACCCATGGTCGGCTCACCCTCTGGGTCTGATCCCTCCATATTATATATTATATGGTGGTTATGTGGTGGTTACCTCTATATTATATGGTGGTTACCGAAATGCCGGGTCCACAGGAAGAGCCCTCAGAGCCACGGTGATCTAAAAAGGGTACCAGCCAGCAGGCAGGCACAATCACAGCTAACAAGAGCGCAAAGGCTGTCGGTGAGCTGGCAAGGCGCACAGACCTCTGCCTCCTACGAGAGGGGAGGGGGGGGGGGCTCACCTGGAATTCTTGCTCTAAAGAGTTCTCTAAGTGGTGACGAGGTGTTTAAGATACATGATACAAATATCCATGGTTCGGTGAATTTCTGCGTGAATATATTTGTTATCGTGACTTGCCACTTTTATGTTATGAGCGGATGAAATCAGGACACACTTGTCTTTACATTATGTATATATCAATACCAGGTGAACAACAGGTCGTGCATAAGGATACCACTGCTGTATGGGGCATGCTGGTACTCTTCGGTTGGTATACAGATCGTTATCAACATGGCCTGTGCATGCCATTCCTGACATCAACTGTAGCCTGGCTGGGTTGCGTGTCATTTGAGGTTTTGACACCTTATTGGAATCGATACATAAAATGGGTTTTCTTCATCATATTACAGGGCACTGAAGCGTGACAACGTGTCGCAAGATCTGGGAGCAGTTGCGTCCGTGGTCTATTCGTCCCGATGCGGCCCGTCGAGGGTGACACAAGTGCCAGACCTGGGGGCAGTTGTGTCTTCGCCGCCATGGTTGTGCCGTGCGCGGTCTGTTTTGTATCGTGCCAGTGCGCGCCGTCGTGTGCCAAGACAGATATATCTCCTGCATCGTAATACGACTGACATGTCGTTGAACCGTTACATTGTTTATCATTGCTAGACATACTGCAAGGTCTCTTCAATGCTGGGGTGTCTCGAAGTAACTGTCGATAAGACACGAGCCATGCGTTGCGCGCGGTCAAAGGAGCTTTAATATGATGACAGTTGATGCAATAAAACATACCACAGTGCGATGCCGTAAATGCTTTGAATCAAACACTTGGTGGTATCCAGACGCTGACGTGGTAAATGGATGGCGGACTTTGTCTGCCCCGATAGCTAAGTTGGCGCCTACGTTGTCACTCCGTCACTCGTGGCAATGTGGGTTCAAGTCGGGATTGTTGCTAATGTAAAGCCAATGGAAGATACACAAGTTTGAACAAGTCCAAACACGGCCACCAGCTCTTGACCAAACTTTTACCGGGTATAATGGCAACTACACTATTGTCATCAAATATATTTAATTCAATTTTCTGTTGCATATCACCAACATTCTAACTTAGTATGGGCAGTTGAACAATTTTGTTGACTCCTTACTTCTGTTACGGCCTCTGTATTTGTTTTCAATGGCAATGCTACAAATTGCAACAATCTTATTCCTTATCATATAATACGTTGCTGAACATCAAATTTGAAAAAGGTAGCCAACATACACATTCAAAAACCCATTCTTCATGCCATGTCTGCCAAGCAGCAACTACAATCACACTGAATTGGGTGGCTGTTAGCTAAATCTTTTTCAATTCATTTTTGTAGTTCACGAAACATCCAAGAGATTTCAGCAGCATCCCCACTTGCGCCAAGAACTCCTCAGAAATGTGACGCCGGGTGCGACCGGGAAGGGTGAGTCCACGCACCCTTAAAAGGAGCGTCCCACATTTACATGGGGTTTTGAACTAAAATACCCATTTTGAAGGACTTGCGGTGCTGTTCACAATTCTGCCCTTCTTAAGACCAAAGCCCCTCTAGTTTCTGTTCTATTCGCCGCGTAGATGGTGAAAGGCATATCGGGGAGCGTATTTCAAAGTCACCTTGGCATTCATGACGCCATACTAACTTTATTCAAATTCTGCCAACCCATAAGCCATGCTATAATCAAGGCCAAGAAGAATGCAACTATGAAGGCGTTCGTATCTGGCGTTCGTGAGCGCACTTTCCAGATATGACAGCCGTCAATTGGCTCTCAATTGATATTATGTAAGGTGCGATGACCTCATCAAACCACGCCACATTGAGGAGCATACTTGCTAAACAGGGAATTGTGTGGTCTGGGGCACTCTTTTCCACTTAACAAGCATATCAATATTTCAATGTGGGCTTGTTTCATCATATCTGATGTTAGTTTCAATAGCCTTTAATGTGAAACATTCCCTTTAACAGGGGCATTGGGTGCACGCCCTAGGCCGACCGGGCGGGTAGGTGAATGCCTTTCCAGAGGGTAGCTGAGTGATCACTGATGTGGGCAAGCTCTTCTACAAAAGTGACATCTGCTGGTTGAGAAACAGGTGGTATATTCAATGGGAGAAACTAGGGGCTAAAAAACGCACCTGGAAATGTTCCACATTTAGAGATATTAAAACAGTCACCAGGGGTGATGAAGTAAACTCATTTAGAACTAATGGTGCACTTTTAACTGGAAAAGACTGCTCTATACAACACAATTTCTCTGTTACATGAACATGCTCCTTAATGCGTCATTGTCTGATTTCGTCAGCGCATCTTACATATTTTTGATTGAGAGCCAATTGGCGGCGTAGTGTATAGAAATCACGCTCACGAACGCCACATATGAACGACTCAACAATCATATTTTTCTTGGCTTGATCGCCACACGGCCAATGCAATAGCAGAATTTTAATGGCGTTATTATGGCGTCACGGCCATCTGAGTAACCTTAAAATAGCCTGCACGAGACAGTATGCCCATCTTCGCGGATGTATAGCTCAGAAACTAAAGGGTTTTAGGTCTTAGGAAGGGCAGAGCTTTGAATTGCACCGAATGATCTTCAGTATGTCTATTTCAGTTGAAAACCCTATGCAAATGTGAAGCACAGTCTAGGCGCTCTCTTTTGGACTGGGATGGACATCGGACCCCCTTATTCTATCTTCGCTTCATCCTTCTTCCTAGCGACGCCCTGCATGTTCGGGCAGGCTGCATGCGTCAGCCATGAGCGAGCCAAGAGGCCCCGGGAGGGAGACCGCAATCGGGCGCCGAGCGCACCCCCGCAGACGGGTCCCTGCGAGGGCCACGGCTAAGCGATTTGACCCCCCCCCCCCCCTCCCCCCCCCCCAGGCGCATGCAGTCCTGCCCCACCGTTATCCATCCTCCTTTATCTCATAGCCCTGAAATGATCATTTCTGGTCAAAAGGACTGTAGCTCAAATAGCCAACTGGGATGGCCTCCGGTCGGTGTCCGCGGTTGTGTTAAAGGTCAGGTGACGTGAGAGGGCAGCACGGACCGCGCTGGGCATTGGAGTGCTGAGCATTGCAGCAGTTGGCCCGATATTTTGCGATCGGGTGGTGGAGCTGGGGCTCATACAACAAACACTGTTTAGCGCAGACACTGGTTAGATCCATCTAATGACAAGATTTGGACGAGATCCTTTTTTAAGCATGCACATATCGGCATCACGCCAGAAAAGGTATCTTCATTATAGCTCATGTTGAAGGAAGTGTTTCACATTTGCATTTCATATTTGCATGGGGTTTAGAACAGACAGAGCCATCTTGAAGATTATTCGGTGCATGTCCTGCCCTTCTTGAGACCCAAACCCCTCTAGTTTCTGAGCTACGTGTCCGCGAAAATGTGCAAACTTTTTCGGGGAGACTATTTCAAGGTCACCCAGACACCCATGATGCCATAATAATGTCATTAAAATTCTGTTATTCCACTGGCCAAGCAACGATCGAGGCCGATAAAATATGATTGCTGAGTCGTGTCTGGCGTTCGTGAACACAACTTTCAAATATAACGGCCGTCAATTAGCTTTAAATCAATGTTGTACAAGTTACGATGATGTAACCAAACAATCATGCATTAAGGAGTATGTTTACTAAGCAGAGATGCTATGTCGTCTGGAGCAGCCATTTCCACTTGAACGTGTAAGTAAGCTCACTTCATCATATCTGATGCTTGCTTTAATATCTTCAAATGTGGAACATTCTCTTGAAATATCGGCAGCTTCCCGTCAAAAATAGCTGACGTGCAGAAAATGGTAACAAAAACAACGGGCCTGCCTTCGTCGCCGCCTCGCGCCATTACGACAAAACCGTCTTATCCCACCGATTTTCACAAAAGCGCCACCGCCTGACGCGGCGCAGTGACGCGGCGACCATGGGTCGGGCCCTAGCGATCATTGGGGAACCAATGCATGTAGCTGGCAGGTCGCTGAGCTATTGCGTGGCAGCGCACTACGTTTGAGCGTAGTCGAGGTTGGCTGATTTCTGTTCAACATGAAGGCTCCACTGCTGTCGGCTGCATACACGTCAGCCAGCCGCGGTGTGACAGCTGTCACGCTCCTGACCTTTTCCTCAGGGCAGTATAAAAGACGAGACATTTCGGAGGCGTTGCCCATGCTGACGAAGGCACCGCACCGTTGAACGTCGGGCAGGCACGATGCGTTTCGTCTTTGCGCTTGTCGTCTGTGCGCTTGTCGTTGCAGCGCTGGCCGCAACTGCCGAAGGTAAGGCGGCTCTTCTTGTGGCTGGTGTCTATGTGCAATTGGGGCTTTGCGACGCAGTCAGCTGCTGAGGCTATACGGGGCCGACTGGCTCTCACCCCAGCAGGAAGGGCGGGCACCACGGAGATTCGAAGCCTGCTCCCTTGGTTTCGCAGGCTGTTTAAACCACTGCACTATGGGTACCCTCGCCATGATCTGTAGGTGTGACAAAAGGTGGTATATCTACACCTACATTTATGTGTTATCTACTGCTTAATATCGAGTTTTATGGATCTAGATTGAACGTTACAAAGGTCATATCTGTTGACGACACACGTTTGGTCTTATCCACATTCCGTTCTTTTTGCAGGGTCATCTTCATGTCGGGGCAAAAACGCATCCTTGCACGCGTTGTCCCAGAAAGGGCAGCAAGTACGGATGCATTCAGACTTGCTGCAGATCGGGACGTCGAGGCGGTGGTGATGATGATGGCGATGATGATGATGATGATGATGATGACGGTGGCAGACGGCATCACGGCAAAAGGAGGCGAGGCGGTGACGACGATGACGATGATGATGATGACAATGGCCACCGTCGTCGTGGTGGAAAGAGACGAGGCGGAGATGACGACGACGATGATGATGATGATGACAATGGTCGCCGTCGTTGTCATGGTTGCAAGAGACATGGCGGTCATCATGGCGGCAAAAGAGGGGCGGAGATGACTAGACACTTTCGCACGGCTTCCAGCCGCCCGTCAGCTAGATTGTGACGGAAGAAGTGTGCAGCCAGGTGCGACAAGATATCACGGGCGCATTGAACGATCTTCACACCCCAGGACTTCGATAGTATGACAGCGGGTGCATCGTCGAGTCTCGATTTAAATGGCGGGCTCCACCCGGTCCACACGGGATTATCGCTTTCCATGCGTTGTTGCACTGGATCTGCCATCGAAGCGCCAGAGGTTGACAACGGTGCTACCCATGTCATGTCTCGGTTTTGTTTGATTTCAACAGTTGCTATGTTTGGTTCAAATACAGTCATACAAAGTACAAAGTGCAAAGGCAAGGTGTTATACAAGGTGCGAAGTGTATCTACGGGCGAAATCCATTGCTGCCATTAGTAACGGCACGTGATGGCAACACGGTCGAGAAGAAATCGCGCTAATCGGTGGTTTCACATGAACCCTTCACAAACAGCACGCATCCGACTCCTAAGTGGCTATCTGAAACGCTATGTCATAGGCCATTATGCATGCGATCTGCATTTTCATGCATGCCGTGGCTTACACTGTGATCATTCGTGATACCGGCAAATCTAGCAGCATGGCCTGTGTGGGGCGTCGAAGGCAGGCGAGCGTCCAAAGGAAAAGGTCACCTGACACGCACCGTGAAGCCCGCAGCCGATTGTTCAGCCATTCATGCACTTACGAGCGAGGCCACACGGCCCGTGTGCGGGCGTAACTGACCATGTCGAGGCCGTGTGCGGACGTGACTGACCATGTCGAGGCCGTGTGCGGACGTGACTGACCATGTCGAGGCCGTGTGCGGGCGTAACTGACCATGTCGAGGGCCGTGTGCGGACGTAACTGACCATGTCGAGGCCGTGTGCGGGCGTAACTGACCATGTTGAGGCCGTGTGCGGACGAGACTGACCATGTCGAGGCCGTGTGCGGGCGTAACTGACCATGTCGGGGCCGTGTGCGGACGGACTGACCATGTCGAGGCCGTGTGCGGGTATGACTGACCATGTCGAGGGCCGTGGTTGAGGCAGACCTCCCACGAGGCGATTAAGATGGGTCGGCGCACGGACGCGAGCACGATGTTCGCCGCCTCCGGGTCGCAGACGAAGTTGAACTCGCCGGACGGCTTCACGTTGCCGAGGCCTGCCGGGCAGCGGCAGCTTCGCACGCGCGCTCACACTAGTAAAGGACGCGGAATTCACCGGCTAGGTGTGACCACGGACGGCTTTAACCACAACACATGGAAACGTAAAAGTCTCGACTGGCGCAGGTGTATGACAGGGGGGGGGGGGGGGAGGAAGGGCTCCTGCATGCCATGCAGCTCCCTGTTTCTTCTTCGGCGGATCTCCCGAATCGCTCTGCACGTCGCTGCAGCAGAGTGTAAATAAGTTCGGTCGTACTCATTTGACAGCTTGCTAATCTCAACTATCTGTCGTGTCAGGGCATTGGTAAATTGTTTCGTTTGCGAGACTTGGCATTGAAAAATTCGGTGGGTCCACGACGCATGTTTACCCTTTTGTAAACCAAATATTCTTGTTGGATGATGTTAAAGGTGTGAGTTGGCTGTATTTGATATCAATAAAAAAATAAATATCGACCTTCTTTTTTGGTATCGTGACGTGTGCGCTAAAAATAACCAACCGTCAATATGCCAGGACGTAAAGATAAACGAATATTTCAAGCAATCATTAAAATATATTTTCAGCTATTATTGGAAACAACGTCAACCGCTCACCATCATGCATCGTAATAATTGCTGTGATATATCCTCTCAGCAGTTACGGCCCGGTTTGCTGAAGGCCAATGCAAGTTTGCAAGATGATGGAATTCATGTGCTTCGTGCATTGATCATGCAGATGATCAATGCTCGCGACCACTTCATAGTATCCTAGGCGAAGCCAGTAAAATCCAGGAAACTAAGACAAAGCCCTATAAATCCCGTTATATCGCGAGTAATAGCAACCATCATTGTTGGCATGAGCATCATTAAACGTCAAGGTTGTATTAGGTCATGTTTTCGGGACCGCGCAGTGGTTTTTACAAACCTTTCACAGTGCGTAAATTTTGTCTTCTTACCATGACGATAGCTTGTGCGAAATGATTCGGAAAATGTCATAGGAGGTCATGCACTGACCTCAGGTAGCCTCACGCCACCGCATTAAAGTAAATGGTTGCGCAATTTGACCTTTGATATACTCCAATCACATGTCGACGGGCGCTTGGGCCCTGAGCTTATAAGATGTACAAAGTTTTGGCCATAGCTGCCGCTAGCTACCCATAGCAGAAACAATGTTACAAGAATTCTAGGCACAATAACAACAATAACTATTCCATACATTTACAAACCAAAGGTACTTTTTCCTTTAAAGCCCCGCCACGTATCCACATAAAGGTCTTGATGAGTACGTTGGCCCAAATTCATGGATAGCTCATGGACCACCCGTACGAAATAAGCGAATGTGATTAAACATTGGTGACGTTTCGCTAAGGAATTTTGCGACTCATGCCTGATATAAATTAGACAGGCATTGAGCTGCTAGTTTTTAGTCATTATGAACTGGGAACTCAGATTTTGGCACTTGATGCATCTTATCATAGCTTAAGGTCAAAAATATGAAATCTCATGACATATAACATTTCCATCGTTTGCGCGTGATATCACCCGATGAAAAAGGCAAATGTTCTGCATATTTGCACATGGGCGTAACCCTTTCTCTGGGATTGGTGGACAAATCAGGATGAAGTGGGCGTGAGGGGAGGGGGGGAAGGGAGGAACACCCACTAAAGAGACATTACTCTAGATGTAAAAATGCGAAAGGTGCATTTTGGCTGGCAAGGTCGGGGGAAAATGCCATTTTCGGAACATTGTAGGTGACATTTCTCTTCCCCCCCACAATGGTTACACCCCAACATGACACCCAGGCACGTACGTGCATTGCTTCCAAACTGCTGTTTTACAAATACGGTTACTATGCCAAATGAGCAGATGGCAGCCAAAGACCACAATTCATACTAACCCAACACAGTGACATCAATAAAACGTTTTTATTCTGCAATCAAATGCCATTTATCTTTCTGAACTACACCAGAGCCCGTGCACTAGAGCCCTAGTCAGTGAAAAACACATGGTCGTGTACTCATTCACACGTGCCGTTATAAAAAGTACATGGCCATGCGTTTTTACACCACACACCATTGTTTCAATATTTGTCAACCCACATTGCGTATGACGGACGATTTCTAGTATCAGGAACCAGGAGAGGCTATTATCTCGCGCGCGAAGGTCACGACGTTCTGTAAACCCTGGGCCGGTTGAGGTTGGCCGGCCGCCCGGACAAGCCGGATCAAAACAAAGGGATCACCTTCGTACGAACTCCATGGAGTGGCTCGCGCAAAGTAGACATGCGGGCGATCAAAAAAGTGAAATACAACTATGTGTAGAGGCCTCTTTTGGATGTACGTTTGACTACAAACCATTGCTCTTATATTTTGTTGAAACACCGCATGACTGCCATAAGAGACACATCCTCGTGAACACGGCAGGCATCGGATCGTCTGTGGGAATGCGTGAAACGGTGAAGATGAACGAGGATTCGAGAGGGGATCACCCTCTGCATAAAGTGTCGAATCAGATTATCAAAGAATACCGACTGTTTGCCGGTGCCCGAAAGCCAGGTCAGCTCTTCAGTTCAGCGGATTAGAGCGGTTTCAACAAAGAGAACAATGACGGAGCTGGATCTGCGCAGTTTGAGGAGTGTCTTTGCCCCAGGAAAAGATAAGCCAGTACGTCGCTGAGAAGGCGGAGCATATTCTTGACAAATCTTCATTGACGACGAACCAGTTTTTATGGTTCGAATCACGCACTTCAAGTGTTTTTAAAAGCCAACGTCAATAAATGGCACGATCCATTCTTCCGAAGAAGTTCGCTGGGGACTGATTGGTGCAACTATGACCTGACAGAGTTCTCATAAACCTATCTGAGCTTCAAAGAAGGTGATGCTGGATAATACCAAACGAATCATTCCAAGAGACAGTTACTGCTTGAGGGACACGCAGTTTGATAAATTCCACTAGTTAATTTCGGGGCACACGGCGAAGATAGCAAGGCGATAATAAATCTAGGCAAGAATAGATAGATAACCTTCAGCCTAAACAACTTGACCCTCTGAAAGCCTTTGGAGACTTGTGGGTTGGTAGATGAGCAAAGATCAGGATAAGAGTAGATGGAAACATTCGTTTTTGGCGTTCGGCTTATCAGGTTAATAAAGATAGGAAAGAGAAAAGGAGGGAAACATCCTTAGTGCATGATAACTCCTTTTACTCTCTTTACCCACCTGATGATGGCCAGCGCCGAAAAGTCATGCCCTCAACTACTTTTCTCCCGAAATTTACTCTTCTGCCAGTCTACAAGTTCTCAACAGTCTAGGACTTAAGGTCATCTATATATGTTCAAATACAATTCCTTTTAAAATACTACTCCTCCCCTAAGTCGATCGGTCAAACCGAGGCTTTATAAGCATAGGTCTATAGGTGAAAAAGGAGTAAAATATCAGGTAAGCATGTGTCAGTGATGTAGACTATGGAAATCTGCCCGAGTGCATGTGATGGTTGTAAAAAACAAAGATGTTGTATTCGTAGTCACTAGTTAGGCGTGGAGAGGCATAACTGGTTATTCAGTAGTGTAAGCACATATACATACCTATTTAAAGTACAGCACCTGCAATAATTGAAAACGCATTGAATGGCTCCCATATTTTTTATTTCGCAATAAACATGTTACATGCCCGCACTGTCTTTTTCGCGCAGAATATTTCAAGGCCACTCAGGTACGCATGACACCATAGAAACATCATCCAAGACCCAGTACCCCATTGGCCACGCGGCGTTCAAGACCAAGAAGAACGTAATCGTCGAATCCTTCATATCCGAGGTTCGTGGGCGCGATTTCCAGATATAATGGACGTAAATTGCTTTCAATCTATGTTAAACAGGTTGTGCAAGTTTCAATAATGAATCACGTTTTGTGGCACATAGTATAAGAAGTTGGACATAGGGGCTAGTTATTACGGAAAAGAGACTTGTTATAAAGTACTTAATAAAAGCGTCATAACTGAGTATGTGAATGCAATTAAACGCATTAAACTGACGGACAAATATGCAAGAACACCACGAGAAAGGGTGTTCACCCGAGCACATGGGGATATTGGGTTAGCAAACACTTCAGCACCGCCACGGCCCACCTCTCGGGAGACTGAACTACCACGTGAGTGTTATGGTGGCAGTTTTGGTACGGCTAGTCTGGTAACACCTCAACGTCACGCTAATTTTTCGTGATGTCATCCAACAATGGCGTATTGAGGAGCACATTTACTGAATAGAGTCATCGTGCCGTCTAACAGTGTTTTCCATTTCAAAGTTTACCAGTAGTTCTAAGTGAGTTTATTTCATCATGTGTCATACTTGCGTTAATATGCTTAAATGTGAGGCATTCTCTTTACTCACTCACATTCAATGTAATATTCATGTCACAAAAGTAAACCGGCGGCTGGACAAAATTTTAGATGGTCGAACCTGAATGCGTCATCTGATTTCTGCTTCGCACATAACCGTGTTATTTTGTTCAATTTTGTTTTGTGTCGTTCTGCTTCTTGTTT